CATGTCTGAAATTTATATATTCACTCATTCATTTATTCAAAACTGCATATTTATGTAACATTAACCATATGCTGGGCATTGTGGAAGAAGAAAGATCAAGGGTTAGGAGCATGCAAAGAGAATTCCATCTAAATAATTATAGTACTTTTTCCAAACCAAAAACATACAAAAAGATGTTCACTGTCAACAATAGTTAAAAAATATAAATTAATAAAATTATAAGATACTTTCTCTCATAGGATTGCAAAAAATTAGAAAGACTAGTAACATTTAAAATTGGCAAAGATATAGGCATACTGTCATCTACTGTTTGGAGGTATGTAAATTATTACATTATTTTTGGCAATATTTGAGTAATTTGAAAATATTTATCTAAATTTAAAATGTGCATAGCCAGCAATTCTAAGAATTTATCTTATAGAAATAATATCATGGGAAATAATATCTTACAGAAAACATAATGATATGTTTTCTCTTTAGGGAGAGAGAGAGAGAGGTTTGCTGCAGTGTTGTTTGTAATCACATAAAAGGGAAGGAGGAGTGCAACAGAATAGTATATTCCTATATTTACACTCACATGTCTGTTGGCAGAGGACCTTAGTCCCTTACAACATGGACCTCTCCATAGGGCTAACTGAGCATCCTTATGCCATGGCAACTGACTTCTTGCAGAGAAAGTTATGTAAGAGAGAGAAAGATATATGCTGCCACCACAAAAAAATAATAAGTATGTGAGGTAATGCATATGTTAATTAGCTTAATTTAGTCATTCTACAATATATACATATTTAAAAACGTTGCACACGGTAAATATATATAATTTTTATTTGTAGTTTAAAAACTAATTAAAAATAAATAAAGCTGCAATACCGTTTATGACCTAGTCTCAGAAGTCACACAATATCATTTCTACAACATTCTATTAATTAGCACTAAATCCCCAAATCCAGTCTAAGCTCAAGAGGTGGCAAATTAGGCTTCAGTTTTTGGGGGCAGAGGTGTTGAAAATCTGTGGACATATTTTAAAACTATTCCTCTTTGTCCTCTGGCTACAAGTTATTTACATTCTTCATATATGGAAAATATATTCACCCTCTTCCATACCAACTCCCAGTGCCAAGTCTTAATCTTTTACAGCATCAGCTAAAAGTCTAGAAATTTGCCATCTTAATTAGACCTAAATGTGAATGCGGCTTCTCTAGTGTTGTTTTTTAAGTGCAGCTCCTTGAGTACAGTTCCTTTTAACTCAAGTCCTGTGGGTTTAAGAGACAAGTTACCCACATACTCATCCAACATGCGTAAGATAACTGTAGACAATCCTATTCAAAGAGTGGAAAAATGGGAAGCCTAAAGCAATCACTGGTCCATAGCAATTCTGAAATCCACCCAGGCACATGTTCAATGTTTCTTGATTCTAACCCAAGGAACTTCCCAGGAATAGTTCTCCATGGCTCTTGGCTGTACCCTTTGGTTTACTGGTTCCCTCCTCTGATTAATCTGTCCTTCCCCTTGAAAGGTAGACTGTTTTGGAGCTGTGCAGTTTTCTCAGGAAAACTTTGGAATTTCAAATGCCTCCTTTCATTGTGCCTTATCTCTGTTCCCTTCAGTCTAAGCTGATGGTATTTCTGTCAATATCATTATTTTTAGAAACTTTCTGAATCCCCTACGAACCTTATTCAAGCTCACTTCATTAGACAAAAGTCATACCCCAAAACATTTTCAAGGAAAGTTCTTCTCTACTTTGGGCTTCTGCTGAACTGTGGAAAGACAATACCCTTAAGCTTGTTCAAAGCTCTGTTGTTTCACTGAGTGGTTCTCAGAGGCACCATCTTACATCTTTCTGAGATTGTAAACAAAATATTGTACAGCCACACTCTCATCTTCATCTCTGGAACATATCTTTCCATCAGTGCCCTGAATTTGATTTTTGCTGGGAAGCCATGACTTTATTTTAGGTTTGTTTGCCATCTAGAGATGGTGAAAATTTTCAAAACCATCAAATAATGGCTTCTCACATTTAGCAATTCTTCTTTTAGTTTATCTCCTTCCTCTCTGTTGTTTCACTGAGTGGTTCAAGAAGAAACCAGGTGAAATATTCAGCACTTTGCCCGGCTATCTCCTTAGGAAGATCACTCAGTTCATTAGGTACATTTTCTACTTTCCACATTACAACAAGTGATAGTATTGCAAAATTTCTGCCACTATATCCTAAGGATCCCTTTTCTTCAGGTTCCAATAAGCTTATTCTTACTTTTCTTTTAGCTTTTACCCTTAGCCTTCCTATAGCCATCAGGCGTCTATTAACGGTTTCATTAGGCTTTTTCTAGTACTCTCCTTTAAAGCCTTTACAGCTTTTGCCCACATCCAGTTCCAAAGCCACGTCCACAGTTTTATGTATTTATTATGACAGCACCTATTTTGGGGTATCAAATCTGTATCAGTTATTTTCTGCTGTGTAACAAATTACTCTAAAACACAGTAGCTTGTAACACCATTTATTATGTCACACTTTCTGTGGGTTAGGCATCAGGGAGCAGCTTATGTGGGTGGTTTTGGCTCAGGGTCTCTCATGAGATTACAGTCAACATGTCAGTAAGGGCTACAGTCATCTGTAGGCTTGAAGGAGGCCCAAGGACCCACTTCCAAGATGGCTCACTCACATATACATTGGCAAAGGGCCACAGTTCTTCACTGGCTATTAACAGGAAGCCTCCGTTCCTTGCTATGTTGGCCTTTCCTTACGGCTGCTTGAATGTTCTCATGACATGGAAGTTGGCTCCCCCAGGAGTGAGTGATCTGGGAGAGAAAGCAAGGATTGAGCCACAATGTCTTTTATGATCTAGTCTCAGAAGTCATACACTATAACTTCTGCCACATTCTGTCCATTAGAAGTGAGTCACAATGTTCAGTCCACACTCAGAAGAGGGGGTTAGTTTCTACCCTTTCACCTAGAAAATGTTGATATATTATTATGTAAAAAAACAAAGCAAGTTTTATATCTATATGCATAGCATGATTCTGTTTTGGGAGAAAGCAATCTAACCTTGCATATATGGGTAAAAACATAAAGAGTTCTTGAAACCTACAGACCAAAATGTTGATAGTTCTTACATATGTTAGGCAGTTGGAATGAGCCTAGTGAGACATAAGAGAAGAAGAATGAGTTTTAAATATTACTTTTAAAAAGAGGTAGAATTTATGTATTTTAAACTTTCTACTTGTGTTTTGCCATGTTTTGAAAACTTTCTAAAACAAGCATGTGTAGCTTACACAATTAACAATTCTGTTTACCAAGGGGAGAATGCTTACTCAGCTATAAATGTTAAATTGAGATTGGAGAAGAATGGACATGAGGGCATGATGCACCAGAAATCTCAATATAATAATCAAGTGTCCAAGAGAAAAATAATTTTGTTACTACTGAAGGTCTAATTTGTTCAAAGTAGATAAAATCAGCCATCTAAATTACGAAAAACATAACTTCAGCTCTATCTGCTTTACCACAGAGTAAATGTTGACAAGATTTTAAGATAGAATAGAAAACAAAGGACTTCTGGTTAAAATGGAAACATGGCAGACTGAAATATACTTTACCTACTCTTCCCTCCTGAAACTCTACTACAATGTCAGTAAAGGCTGTGTGTACACACACACATGCACACACACACATGCACACACACATTTAAGAGACAGAAAGACAGACAGAGAGATAGAGAGAGAGAGAGAACATAAAAGACGACAGCAACAATGTAATTTTGACTGCTGAAAAGCTGATGCATGTAAATTGCCTTTGTAGATCAAAAGAAGCTGAAATAGAAGCCCATGAGGAGGAAAGCCAGGGATTTCCAAAAACAGTCTTGAGAGTTGAAAGTACCAGGTACTTCAGAATGTAAGGGACACAAGTAGAGAAGAAAACAAGAGGATTGATTTAAAATCTACTTAGGACATGGTTTATTTCCCAGATCTGTAGCACCACCCCCAGTCAGGCAACTTTCTCTTTCTGACCTTGGCAGAAAATTAGAGGTTTACTCTCTGGAGATGTCAAGCCAGAGAACTCTGGACTTAGGGCATTAGGTAGAGAGGAGAATAAGAATACCGTACCAAAAACAGGGAAAGTAGCTGAAAGTCTCTATTCTAAACATTCTCTTCCATGGCTCAGCTTTAGAATTCTGGCAGTCGTATTTAAAGGCAGGAGATTGGTGGATTTCTCTAAAAGGAAAATTATCAGCCCAAGAGGAAAGCAAAGCAAGGCAAAACAAAACAAAACAAAATGTAGACAGTTGGGGAGTCCTTCAATAAAATTGGAGTCAATTATTCTTCGGTGAAGCCCAGTCTTTAATAAGCCCTGTTCTCTCTCACACACACAACTGTAAGGCTTCTGTCTCCTTATTGTTGTTATTTTTAAAAATTATTATTTCAGAAATGACGATCTCACTGGTACTATCTCTGTTTCCTTCAGACTCAAGTGATCCTGGGCTCAAGTGATCCTCCCACCTCAGCCAGGCAAATGGCTAGGATTACAGGTACATGCCGCTGCACCTGGCTTGGCTTCTTTCTTAATATGAGCCAAAATAAGAATGACAAGAGATTTAGGAAAAACTTTTAACATCAGAAAGGACCAAACAAAGAAAAAGGTAACATGAACAAAACAAATCATGTAGGAAGTAGAAGGAAAAAAAACTGTAATTATCATCAGGGAAATAAGAAAAGGTATTACATCCATGACACACACACAAAAAGTTATAAAAAGTCAATATTTGGAAAACAAAATAAAGACCTTAGACATTTAAAAATGTGATGCAAGAAACAAAAATTTAAATGTTCTATGGAAAGGATTAAGAAAATGTCTTAAAAATGTAGAACAACAACAAGAAGAAAATGTAAAATAACAGAGAAAACATAAAGTCTACATGTCCATCATTTGAATAATATCAATACCAGAAAAAGACCAGAGCAAATGGAGCGGAATATTGTCAAATAAATAATCTAATATTTTTCAGAATGAAAGGACATATTTCCAGATTGAATGAACCCCACCAACTACTCAGCATCCCACATTAAAGCAGACTCATGCAGAATACGTACATCATCATGAAATTTCGGAACACTGGGGACATGCAGTCCCCTAGAAGCATCATGATTTTTTTAAAAACTCACATACAAAGGATTGAAAATCAGAATATTGTCAGACTTCTAACAGCAAGTTAAACTGTAGAACAATGGAGCAATGTCTTCAAAGTTCTCAGAGAAGATGGTTTCCAACCTCTAATCTGTACCCTAACAACTAATAAAGTGTGAAGTTAGAATAAGGACAGTTTCAGGCAAGCAAGATCTCATCAAATTTACATTCTATGCATCATTTCTCAGAAAGCTAAAGGAGGATGTGTTCACTAAGTAAAGAGTAAACTAAGAAAGGGCAAGATATGGAATCCAAGGAACAGGGACCTCACTCAAGAGAGTCAAAGGGAATTCCTTGGATGACAGGAAAAGAAGATTCCCGCGGCAACAGCTGTGTTGCATCCTTGAATGTGATTGACCCAGATTGAAGAGGAGGACAGAACCTCCAGGAGGAAATGAAGAAGTAATATGTATAAAATTGACATAATCTTCAATATGTTTGATGTTTTCAGTGGAGATTACAATTCTGTAATAAAATTTGGAATGCATTAATTAAAACTATCAAATGGGAAAAAATAAGATCGTTATTAATTCCAGGGAAAATATAACATTATACAAGAACGGAATATAATTAACAAAGTACTTGGCTCAGATAAATAATTTTTGCATAGACAAATTAATGTAAGCCCAAATACTAATCTATCTGAAAATATGGTGAGGTGGTTTGGCTGTGTCCCCACTCAAATCTCATCTTGAATTGTAGCTCCCATAATTCCCATGTGTCATGGAAGGGACCCAGTAGGCGGTAATTGAATCATGGGGGCAGGTCTTTCTCATGCTGTTCTTGTGACAGTGAATAAGTCTCACGAGATCTGATAGTTTTATACAGAGGAGTTCCCCTACACATGCTCTTTGCCTGCTGCCATGTAAGATGTGACTTTGTTCCTCCTTTGCCTTCTTCCATGATTATGAGGCCTCCTCAGCCGTGTGTAATTGTGAGTCAATTAAACCTCTTTCCATTATAAATTACCTAGTCTCAGGTTTGTCTTTATTAACAGCATGATAATGGACTAATACAGTAAATTGGTACCAGGAGTCTGGGGTGCTGCTGTAAAGATACCCAGAAATGTAAAGGTGACTTTGGAACTGGGCAACAAGCAGAGGTTGGAACAGTTTGGAGGGTACAGAAGAAGACAGGAAGATGTGGGAAAGTTTGGAACTTCCTAGAGACTTGTTGAATGGCTTTGACCAAAATGCTGATAGTGATATGAGCAATAAAGTCCAGGCTGAGGTGGTCTCAGATGGAGATGAGGAACTTGTTGGAAACTGGAGCAAAGGTGACTTTTGCCATGTTTAGCAAAGAGACTGGCAGCATTTTTCCCCCACCCTAGAGATTTGTGGAACTTTTTTTTTTTTTTTTTTGAGACTGATCTCACTCTGTGCCAGGCAGGAGTGCAGTGGCACTATCTCAGCTCAGTGCAACCTCCGCCTCCTGGATTCAAGCAATTCTCCTGCCTCAGCCTCCCAAGTAGCTGGGACTACAAGCATGCACCACCATGCCCAGCTAATTTTTGTATTCTTAGTAGAGTCAGGGTTTCACCATGTTGGCCAGGATGGTCTTGATCTCTTGTCCTCATGATCTGCCCATCTCGGCCTCCCAAAGTGCTGGGATTACAGGCATGAGACAGAGATTTGTGGAACTTTTAACTTGAGAGAGATGATTTAGGGCACCTGGCCAAATAAATTTCTAAGCAGTGAAGTGTTCAAGAATGGACTTGGGTACTGTTAAAAGCATTCAGTTTTATGTATTCACAAAGATATGGTTTGGAATTGGAACTTATGTTTAAAAGGGAAACAGAGCATAAAAGTTCAGAACATTTACAGCCTGATTATGCCATAGAAAAGAAAAACCAATTTTCTGAGGAGAAATTCAAGTTGGCTACAGAAATTTGCATAAGTAATGAGGAGCCAAATGTTAATTCCCAAGACAATGGGGGAAATGTCTGCAGGGCATATCAGAGGTCTTCACTGCAGTCTTTCCCATCACAAGCTGGGAGGCCTAGGAGGAAAAAATGGTTTTGTGGGCTGGGCCCAGCTCCCCATCCCATCCACTCCAGCTGTGACTAGCTATGATGGTACAGCTTGGGCCATGGCTTCGGAGGGTGCAAGCCCAAGCCTTGATGGCTTTCACATGGTATTGAGCCTATGGGTACACAGAAGTTTGCTGCAGGGATGGGGCCTCCTGGAGAACCTCTGCTAGGGCAGTGCAGAAGGGAAATGTGGGGTTGGAGCCCCCACACAGAGTCCCCACTGGGGCACTGCCTACTAGAGGTGTGAGAAGGGGCTCACTGTCCTCCAGGCCCCAGAATGGTAGATCCATCAACAGCTTGCATCATGTGCCTGGAAAAGCCAGAGACATTCAATGCCAGCCTGTGAAGACAACCAGAAGCAGGGGAGTGTACTCTGCAAAGCCACAGAAGTGGAGTTGCCCAAGGCCATGAGAGTCCACCTCTTGAATCAGCATGACCTGGATATGAGATATGGAGTCAAAGGAAATCATTTTGAAGCTTTAAAATTTGACTGCCCTGCTAGATTTCAGACTCCCATGTGGCCTTTAGCCCCTTCATTTAGGCCAATTTCTCCTGTTTGGAATGAGTGTACTTACCCAATGTAACCATGTGGAACTGTGAGTCCATTAAACTTATTTTCTTTATAAATTACTCAGTCTCAGGTATGTATTTATTAGCAGCATGAGAATGGACTAATACATATGATATAGCTATATATAAGTGGATGAGAGAAAAGTCTGTGGGGGTATTCAGGGAAGTTATGATGTATCTTCAACAGTGAAGAGTGCCTAGACAATATCTGAAATGCAAAATTAAAAAGTATAGAATAAACTTGTTTATTAAAACATGGAGGCTGCGGTAGGCATTCATTATTTCTTTTAAGGGTGTCCAGCATCTTTCGAACAACATCCTTTTTAAGCAATTATTTTTAATTTTTATGGGTACATAGTAGCTGTATATATTTATGGGGTATATGAGATATTTTAATACAGGTATACAATGTGTAATAATCACATTAGTGTAAATGGGGGTATTCATCTCCTTAAGCATTTATTATTCCTTTGTGTTATGAACATTCCAGTTATACTCTTTTCATTATTTTTAAATGAAATTAAATAATTTAAATAAATTATTGTCGACTGTGGTCACTTTGTTGTGCTATCAAATACTGGATCTTATTCATTCTATCTAACTGTATTTTTGTACCTATTGACTATCCCCACCCAACTATCCTTCCTAGCCTCTGGTAACCATCATTCTATTTTTTTTTTTTTTTGAGATAGAGTATCACTCTGTCGCCCAGGCTGGAGTGCAGTGGCACGATCTCAGCTCACTGCAAGCTCCACCTCCCGAGTTCATGCCATTCTCCTGCCTCAATTTCCCGAGTAGCTGGGACTACAGGCACCTGCCACCCTGCCCGGCTAAGTTTTTGTATTTTTAGTAGCGATGGGGTTTCACCGTGTTAGCCAGGATGGTCTCCATCTGCTGATCTCGTGATCTGCCTGCCTTGGCCTCCCAAAGTGCTGGGATTACAGGCGGGAGCCACCGCACCCGGCCCATTCTATTTTTTATCTCCACGAGTACAATTGTTTTAATTTTTAGTTCCCACAAATGAGTGAGAACATGTGAGGTTTGTCTTCCTGTGCCTGGCTTATTTTACTTAACATAATGACCTCCAATTCTACCCATGTTGTTGCAAATGACAGGATCTCATTTTTTTTTATGGCTGAATAGTACTCCACTGTGTATATGTGCTGCATTTTCTTAATCCATTTGTCTGTTGATGGACACTTAGGTTGCTTCCAAATCTTGGCTATTGTGAATACTGCTGCAATAAAGATGGGATTACAGATATCTCTTTGATATCCTGATTTCCTTTCTTTAGGGTATGTAGCTGGCAGTGGGATTGCTTGATCTCATTGTAGCTCCATTTTTAGTTTTTTTGAGGAACCTCCAAACTGTTCTACATAGTGGTTGTACTAATTTACATTACCATCAACAGTGTACAAAGGTTCCCTTTTCTCCACATTTTCACCAGGATTTATTATTCTCTGTCCTTTGGATAAAAGCCATTTTAACTGGAGTGAGATGCTAGCTCATTGTAGTTTTGATGTGCATTTCTCTGATGATTAATGATGTTGAGCACTTTTTCATACACCTGTTTGCCATTTGTATGTCTTCTTTTGAGAAATGTCTATTCAGATCTTTTGCCCATTCTTAGTTGGATCATTACATTTTTCCCTATTAAGTTGTTCAAAACTGGAGGAATGATATTAACTGACTTGAAATTATTCTACAGCGCTATAGTAACCTATATTCTGGCTGTCAGTTTCTTGTCAAATGGGTAGTCTGCAAATATTCTCCCATTCTGTGGGTTGTCTCATCTTTGTTAATTGTTTCCTTTGTTGTGCAAAAATTTTTTTTTTTTCTTTTTGAGACGGAGTCTCACTCTGTCACCCAGGCTGGAGTGCAGCGGTGTGATCTTGGCTCACTGCAACCTCCGCCTCCTGGGTTCAAGTGATTCTTCTGCCTCAGCCTCCCGAGTAGCTGGGACTACAGGCATGGGCCACCACACCCAGCTAATTTTTTTTTTTTTTGTATTTTTAGTAGAGATGGAGTTTCACCATATTAGCCAGGATGTTCTGGATCTCCTGACCTCGTGATTTGCCTGCCTCAGCCTCCCAAAGTGCTGGGATTACAGGCATGAGCCAATATGCCTGGCCAAGATTTTTAACTTGATGTGATCTCATTTGTCCATTTTTGCTTTGGTTGCCTGTGCTTATGGGGTATAACTCAAGAAATCTTTGCCCAGTTCAATGCCCTGTAGAGTTTCCCCAATGTTTTCTTTTAGAAGTTTCATAGTTTGAGGTCTTAGATTTAAGTATTTAATCCAGTTTGATTTGATTTTTGTATATGGTGAGAAATAGGGGTCTAGATTCGTTTTTCTACATATGGATATCGAGTTTTCCCAGCACCATTTATTGAAGGCACTGTCCTTTCCTCGACATATGTTCTTGGCACCTTTGTCAAAAATGAGTTTACTGTGGATGTGTGGGTTTATTTCTGGATTCTCTATTCTGTTCCATTGGCCCATGTGCCTGTTTTTATGCCACTAACATGCTGTTTCGGTTACTATAGCTCTGTAACATAATTTGAAGTCAGGCAGTATTATTTCTCCAGTTTTGTTCTTTTTGCTCAGGATAGTTTTGGCTACTCTGG